GGGTTGTACTTTCTTTCAACAAGCTGATGTTCAGATGTCTTTTCTAGAGCCTTTGCTTCTGGCCATTACGTAGCTCATCAAGAAGAACTAGAATATTTAAAATTAAATACTACTCCTCTTCTCTTTTTGGGTCCTGATTAAGTTGATATGTAATTTGGGTGTATGAAGATTACAGATGGCCTCTGGCAGGCTGTTCTGGTTTGTGCAGCATCCCAAGGCTCTAATGAATAGAGTGTGCAGCTTGAGTGATGGTGAGGATCTGATTTTCAAATAATCAAGGATATTTATATCCTTTAATAGGTTGGTGCCTTTGAGCTCTGTTCTAGCATGAAACTGAGAGTCAGAGAGAGGTCTAGATAATCAATTTGGTGTCACTTCTTAGAAACTGCTAGATCAGGAATATGTGCTGGCTAGAGTGGTAACTTGGGGTGGAGATGTGGAAGTGATAGGTGTTGTGTACCATGCTATCCTCTCTGTATTTAAAATGAAGACACAACACAGATTTTCACGTGGGGAGACGTTTCCTATTCTTAGCTGTTATTTGATTTTAACTCAGACATAATGTGTCCTCGATCAGATGGAAACAGAGCACAGGAGAACAGTCTCAGATTTGTGACTCTACAGAACTGCCCAGCAGACCATTTCCATGCATCTCACTCAGTGGAGGCTTAGGCTGCCTAAGTTTTGAGATTGGTTTGGCTGGTCTTACAACAGATGCAGTGATTTATGAGAGTCCTTGTTGTAGGGGACCTGGTCTGACAGATGCAGTGACTTATGAGAGTCGTTTTTGTAGGGGACCTCTGCTGCTGAGAGCAGCCAGATGAAAAGCAAGGAGGTGGGAAGTAGAGGAGAGCAAGGAACAGGAAGAGGGAAAGTTGTGTATAATAAGGTAGTTATATCCTGATTATAGTTGTTAGAGTTGTAAGTTGATACTGAACCGTGGAAGTAGAGTGAACTTTTGGAAGTTCTATAGGCTTTGGAATTACATAGATCTGGCTTGGGATCACTGACTGTACTGTTTGTTGGTGGAAAGAGCATTTGTGAGTTGCTACCTTTCTTTTAGCCTCCATTTCTTCATCTGTAAAATTGGAGATAATGAACACTCTCCTGCTCTCCTGCTGCATGCAATTATACTAACATAAAGGTCCAAGCAGAGTTACTGGTATATTGGGTAGCTCAGTAACTCATAGATATTAATGTTTCTCCACGTGTCTTATTTGTTTATTCACTAGTTTTGATTATTATTTGAAATTTGTAATTAAACCTTAAGGAGCTCTGGTAGCATAGTGGTTTCGAATCGTGCTGCTAACCTCAAGGTCGTCAGTTCGAAACTACCAGCTATTCCGCAGGATAAAGATGAGGCTTTATGCTCCCATAAAGAGCTACAGCCTTGGAAACCCTGTACAGGGTCACTATGAGTTGGAACTGACTCCATGGTCCTTAACAACATCAACAATTAAGTCTTATGTTCCAACGGGTGCTTAATAATGACTTAAGAACCAGTAGCTCTTATGACCAGGATGCAAGACCATGATTGTCAACAGGTATTTATAGATTTACATGGTTGTTGTTAAGTGTCAACAACTTGGTTCTGACTCATAGTGACCCTGTATAGGGTTTCTAAGAAGTGGCTGGTTGGTTTAAACTGTTGATCGCAACCCTATGAAGGATCCTACAGTGCCACACCAGGCCCCCTAGATGTATGGATGAGCATCTGAAGTGTGTATTAGCCATAATGGTGCATCTAAATGGCACTTAAGACTGTAGTAGATACCTGAAATTTTACTATGGCCAATCCATATAATAAAGGAAGTTCTCTATCTCACGTAATATTAGGGCAATCACAAAAGTAAGACCACCACCATCATCACACTCATCAGATTGGTAAAATATTTACAGTCTGACAATACCAAGTGTTCAGGAGACTATAGAGTGATGCACCACTGGTAGGAATTTAGACTAAGAGAACTACTTTGGAAAATGGTCTTCGGTATGTAGAAATGAGAAGATATGTAGACTCGACTTTACTATCAAATTCCACTTCTAAGTATATTCAATTGATGTGCCCACATCAGCCTCATGTGTCACAGCAAACAACCTGTGTTCATCAAAAGGAGAATTATACACTGTGTTAGAGCTTCATGTGGTGAGAACAGAGTGATTTTAAACAGTGATAAATGAAAAAATAAAATTGCAAAAGAATGCAAACAAAGTCATTTATGTACAGTTAGAAAGCATGAAAACTCGAATTTTTATTCTTTAGGGAGAACTACATATTTAATAGAAGTTGAAAGAAATTAATTAAATGATTTTGGGAAATTAGTAGCAAATTCAGGAGCGTGTTGGGAGAAGGAAGGGGCACATGACTGGGGAGGGTTGATTAAGGGTTCAAATCCCAGTTCTAACATTTTATTTACTAGTTATGTGCTTTTAGACAAGTTTCTTAGCCTCAGTGCCTCAGTCTCATGATATGTAAAATGGGAATTGTAATAAGATGGACTTCATAGGGCTGCTATCAGGATTGAATGAGTTAATATTGGTAAAATCCTTAGGCTACTACCTGGCACTTAGTAAGTACTATGTGTTGGTGTGGCGCTGCAGGCCAATTTGCTGGACTACAAAGTCGGTTTGAGCCATAAGGTTGATTGTTCAAGCTCATCAGCCATTCCTGGGAAACCCTATACAAGGGTTGTGATGAGTTGGAACCGACTCGATGGCAATGAACAGAAACAGAATACAAGTGTTAGAGTCCTGGTGTGGTACTCTAGCTGCAGGATCAGGTGTTCAAACCCACCAGCTGCTCCTCAGAAACCCTCTACAGGGTCTCTATGAGTCAGAACTGAGTTGACGGCACTTACACCAACATATGTGTTAGCAGTTATAGTTCTTATTACATGAGACTATTATTGAGTTTTAAAATCTTAAATACTGCATATTAAAAAATAATAACAATATGTACCCTTCTTGTATTTGTCATTGGATAGTTGGAAAGTTACTTAAAAAACAAATCAAAATAGGAATTTCTGGGTGTGGCACATTATAATAGTATTGCTACCATTGGTTGACCCCCAAATATATTAGATACCATGCTAAGAGCTTGACATGGACTCATTTAACCTTTTTGACAGATGCATACTCAGACCTAAAAGCTGTCTTGAAGGCCCATCAGAAGTCCAGCATGGAAGTAAGCTGTTGTTTTGAGGGTCTTCTAATACAATCCCATTAGAAGAGGAGCCCCTGATCACTACTCTTCCTTGCTAGTCTTTCCAGCACTGTGCCAAAGAACCATAATGTAGGCCACGGGTAATAAATTTCCTAGTAGGCGCATTAAGAAATGTAAAAGGAAACAGGTGAAATTAATTTCAATGATATAACTTATTAAACTCAGTATATCTAAAACATTTTCATTTCAGCATGATTGTTGTTGTTAAAGTGCCGTCGATTTAGTTTCTACTCATAGTTACCCTGTATAAGGTTTCCGAGGAGCAGCTGGTGGGCTTGAACCATCAACATTGTGGTTCGAAGTCCAGTGCTGATACTACAGTGCCACACCAGGAGGCCAACACTTACATAGTACTTATGTAATGCCAGTTAGTGTCCTAAGACTTTCATCAGTATTAACTCATTTAATCCTGATAGCAACCCTATGAAGTAGATCATATTAAAATTCCCATTTTACATATCATGAAACTGAGGCACAGAGGCTAAGAAACCTTTCTAAAGGCGCACAGCTAGTAAGTAAAATGTCAGAACTGGGAGTTGAACCCTTAGTCAACCCCTCCCCATCATGTGCCCCTTTCTCCTCCCAACATGCTCTTGAATTTGCTATTAATTTCCCAAAATTATTTCATTAATTTATTTCAACTTCTATTAAATATGTAGTTCTCCCTAAGGAATACAGATTTGATTTTTCATGCTTTCTAACTGTAAATGACTTTGCATTCTTTTGCAACTTGTCTTTTTTCATTTATCGCTGTTTAAAATCACTCTGTTCTCACCACATGGAGCTCTAACGCAGTGTATAATTCCCCCTTTGATGAACACAGGTTGTTTGCTGTGACACGTGAGGCTGCTGTGGGCACATCATTTGATTACAGATTGGTTATACTTAAGAGTTGAGTCCTGGTGTGGTGCTGTGGGTTAGTGCTGCGGGCTGCAAGGTCGGTTTGAACCACAAGGTCAGCGGTTCAAACCTATAGGGTTTCCAAGGAGCAGCTGGTGAGCTTGAACTACCAACCTTGTGGTTCAAACCAACCTTGCAGCCCAGCACATTAACCCACCAGTGCTTCACTAGGACTCCAAAGTAGGGTATGTTTTTGTTGTTATGTGTCGTGGATTCGGTTCCGACTCGTAGCAACCCTGTGCATGGTTTCCAAGGCTGTAAATCTTTATGGGAGCAGAAAGCCTCATCTTTCTTCCATGGAACAGCTGGTAGTTTCAAACTGCTGACCTTGTGGTTCGCAGCCCAATTCATAACTACTACGCTACCAGAGCTCCTTAAAGTAGGGTGTACACATATGCAAATTTCTACATACTGAAAATCATTTTCCAAAGTAGTTCTTTCAGTTTAAATGACTATATTGTTAAGCTTTAAATATTTTACCAATTTGATGAGTATGATGATGATGGTGGTCAATGTAAAAAATCATTGATATATCCTACATTCAATTTTTCTTGCACTAAATCTGAAATCTGGTGTGTGTTTTATACTTCCAGCATATCTTGTTTCAGGCTAGCCACAGTTTCAGATATTCAGTTGCCACCACTGGCTAGTGGCTACATTATTGATTGGTGCCTCTCTAGAGGCTTCGGTTCTGGGAACTCCAAGGTCCTATGCACTATCATAACCCAGAGTTGATGTGTTTTGAGAGCAGTTCATAACTCTCAGGCATATCTGTCACAGATTTCCAAAGGTGGTGTGCGCATGTTTTAGGAGTGACTATGGATTGGTGTTTATTGTATTCTGTGCCATCTGACCGCATTTTGTTTTTCATTGGCAGGTGCCTCGTCTCCAGACATGGAGCCCAGCTATGGAGGTGGTCTCTTTGACATGGTGAAAGGAGGTGCAGGGCGACTCTTTAGTAATCTGAAGGACAACTTAAAAGACACCCTCAAAGACACATCTTCTAGGGTCATACAGTCTGTTGCCAGGTATGTGGATTCTTCATAGTTAAGCAAGTGTAACTCTCTTCCCCCAAATGACCTGGTTACCTTCAACTGCTTGTCTGGCTCCAAGGACATTTGCTTTTGTGATATTTTCTGAGAGCAGGACATAATTTCCAGAAATATCTGTCCCCGACTCACAAAGATGGTCTGTGTATGTTTTAGGAATGACATGGGAGCTGTGACCATACCTATGGTGGGCTGCAGAATGTCACTGAAGCCATAGAGTTGAATCCTTTAGAAGTTACAAGTGCAGCTTGGGTGAACTCAACCCTTGGATACATTGGGCTCTAATGTAATATCTATGAGTTAGAATAGACTCGTTTGTTACATGATACAGAACAGCTATGTGAGATCTGCTTTTATTAGTCATGTGGCCAATGGCAAGTTAATGAACCTGTATAAACTTTACTTTTATTCTCTGATAGGATTTCTGTCTTTGGTAGTTGTGAGGATTAAATGAAGTAATAATAAACAAGCAATCAGAAAAAAGCAATACTGATGACTTGTAATCACAACAAAACTTTGGTTTTGTATCCTGTCACCTACCCTTTGAACATTTACTGAAGGAGAGACGTTCTCGACCCTTCTAATATATGAAAATGCTGGCAAACAGGCTACACATTTTTTTTTTTTAATTTGTAGGAATTAGAAACTTCTAGGTCATTTTAAGTTACAATTAAGCAACCTTGGGTCAGAAATTCAAGTGTCAAGTCCTCAATGTAAATTCATATTTTGATCTTTGTTGAAAGGTAAAATGATCCCTTACCTTTAATTCTCAGCTAGGGCCTGCTAGGGAGAGAAAGGGTGTGCTGTATTCTTTCTCATTCATTTCCTCCCCTACTCCTCAGCTGCTTACACATTTCAGGAGGTTTCCATGTAGGCAGAGGGGATGGGATGTGTTTATAAATCAGCAATGTTTTCTATTCTAAGATTGGTTCTGTTTATGAAGTGACATCTAAAGAGGACATTGGAATGCACCTGTGGGTGTGGTAGATTTTCTGACTCAAGCAAGACAAGGGCTATCTTTTCTCAACCATCCTTGCTTGCCAGAAAGATGGACTTCTGGAAGTCAAAATATGCCTATGTGGACACAAGTGTCCCAGGTCATGATGGCTAAGGTGGCTAAGGGGAAGAAATGTTGACCAGATAATAAATGTCCTTTCGGTCTTGCTTTTTTAGCTATACGAAGGGAGATTTAGACTTCACATATGTTACCTCAAGAATTATTGGTAAGTTTTTCACATTTGTTGATTACTCAATGGCTGCTTTAAATTGAAGTCCATAGTGACTACAGACCTGTTTAACCTTTTCTCTTTCTGTGATGTCCTAGTGATGTCCTTTCCTCTGGACAACGTTGACATAGGCTTCAGGAATCAGGTTGATGACATTAGAAGCTTTTTGGATTCCAGACATCTTGACCACTACACAGTGTACAATCTGTCACCCAAGTCTTACCGAACTGCCAAGTTTCACAGCAGGGTAAGGAATTTTAGCCCTGTGATCCAAGTTTTGAAGCCATTGCAGTGTGTTTTCTGCCATAAGAGTTAGCCTCAAAGTATTAGGTTCATGAAGCTCAAAACTTATTGAGTACTTATTAGGCTATTACAAGATAGTATGAGGATTTGCCTTGTGTGTAGTCATAGTCAAGAAAATTTATCTGTCAGTAAATTTGGGACAATTAATACTATCTGATTTGGGGCTTCAATCAGGACAATCTAATTTGGCTGTTCATTTTCTAGGGTACAGCTCATGTTGGTCAAGTGAGTTGAACATCTAGTTAGGACCTTGGGCACCCTTATGCTGTCTCACTAGTCATGGTTTTATTGTCGTTGCTGTTGGTAGCTGCCAACAAGTTAGATCGTGACTCATGAAGACCGACCCCAGACACCACAGAAGGAAAGACTGCCTGGACTTGCACCATCTCCATGATCCATTACAGATGGAACCATTGTGATCCATAAAATTTTCATTGGCTGAATTTTGGAAGTAGATATTCAGGCCTTTCTTCCTAGTGTGTCTTAGTATGGTTCAGCATCATAGCAACACACAAGCCTCCCTGCACATGAAGATGGTGGGGGTGGTGGCTGCATAGGAGTTGTATTGTCCAGGAAGTGAACCAAGGTCTGTCACGAGGAAGGTGAGAGTTCTGCCACCGAACTACCCGCACCCTTCCTTCTTGATAGTTGGGCACAAGATAGGGCAGTGAGACTACATTAGTACAGACATACCAGTGCTAATGTAAATATATTTGGGACATTCAGTAAAGGAGTCTTTCATATGTGGATGATAGATACACAGTATTCATACTGTAGGCTGGCTATTACTAAATAATAATAATAGTTGGAGCAGCAACCAATACAAGGGAGTATTCAGAAAATATGTGAGAAAATTCCATTATCTTTTAATTCCATGAAGCCCCCTCACATTTCTAGTGTGCCAAGAACAGTAAAAAAATGCAGTATCTGATTTAATTCTCTCATGAGTTCTCTGAGGTAGGTGAAGAAGCTGAGGCACAGACAGACAAGTTAACTTGCCCAAGATCACACAGCTAGTAAGCAGTCTAAGAGTTGCTATTAACCATTGCCCTGGGCTGACAGTATTGCTTGGAAAAGATGGAGTACCTTTTTAAGATGCTTTTTGAGCTAGACAGATAATTAATTATTCCTAGTTTCAGGCTAGCTAAGGAGTCCTGTTGTGGTGCTGTAGGATAAAGCACTGAACCTCAAGGTCGGTTTGAACCACAAGGTCAGCAGTTCGCTCCTCAAAACCCTTAAGCAAGGTTGCTATAAGTTGGAACTGAGTGGCAATTAACAACAATAACAAGTTATGAGAGATCGCCAGGTTTAAACCTGATTTGAGCTTGACAGTTCCTTCTCAGAAACCCTATATAGAGTCACATGGAGGCCTGGTGTGGTGCTGTGGGTTAATGCGCCAGACTGCAAAGCTGTTTGAACTGCAAGGTCAGCAGTTCAAGCTCACCAGCTGCATCTCGGAAACCCTATACAGGGTTGCTATGCGTAGGAATCGACTCCACGGCACTTAACAACAACAACAACCACATGCATCAGAACTGACTTGACAGCACTTAACAACAATGAATTCTAGAGTTACTCACAAAAATAAGGCTTTTTCTCTCTGAAGAACATCTTCAAATAACTTTGACTGACTTTAGTGTTATTGGTGCTGCGATTACATCTGAATTTACTAAGAAATAGAAAGGGTTTCTACATATGGACCCATTAAGTTAAAAGTGAAACTTGATTTCAAATATACAAACTTAAAACTGGTACCCAGGCCTAGTGTCTAGACTCCAAGCTTAACATCTTGGATACTGGAACACATTTTGCTCCAAATTCCGGTTGCCTCTGGTAATCTCTGGACCTCAGTTTTCATATTTATAAACAAATAAAACAACACGAGGTTAACCTCTGTGCTTTCTTAGATCCCTTCCAGCTCTAATGTTCTGTAAAAATAAGGGATTATTCTGTTAAAAACTCTTGTTTTCTCAGAGTGTTGTTAGCATAGACAAGATGTACCCAGTGTTCTCCAAACTTCATTGTTCATCAGAATCACTTGGAGGGCTTGTTAAATACTGATTGCTGGGCCCTGGCCCTAATGTTTCTGATGCAATAGAACAAACTGTCTTAAAAGCTTCCAGGTACTACTGTTGCCTGTGGGACTGTGCTTTGAGAAGTACTGATGTAAACATTCTGAAGGGATTTAATCTAAACTGCCAGTTTATAATGGAGATGTTAAACATGGCTCTTTAAAATCCCCTGCAATAAACAATCCTTCTGACTTTCATTCCGTCCATTAAATAATTCAGAGCAAGTGAGTTAACGTCAAACAGAAACACAGGTAGATATTGTGTTTCTAACGCTGATGCAGATTCTTTTGAAAATATTTTCCTTGTTTGAAGATGCAGTCAATACCATCATTTCAAAAATGCAGGACCATGAAGCATCCTGCATAACATGTCACAGAAATTTTATTTGATCTGAGAAAATCTCTGCTATTCTGGCACGTCTTCCTCAAATCTTTAGTTACATTATAGATACCTTTCTTTAAAGATATCTTTACACAATAAAGATGTTACTCTGTCCTAAGTCAAATACTTAATTTTTAAATATTATATTCATCATTATTGCCTTTTAATAGTAGTGTTTTTATAAATCTGATCTTTATCTTGTGGCTCAAACTGACTTTGTAGTCCAGCACATGAACCAACAGCGCCACACCAGGACTCCTACAATAACGATAGGACGTGGGGGGTAAAAAAAGGTGCATCATAACTTGGATATGCTATAAGTCCGGGAGACTATCTTTGTTACACAGAAAGCCATTTCATGTGTATGGCTATTTCAGTAATGATATTGGGGTCCTGTTGTGGCACTCTAGGATAAGCCCTACACTTCTAACTGCAAAGTTGGTGGTTCAAACCCACCAGCAGCTCCATGGAAACCCTCTATAGGTATGTGACCAAAGTTTTGTGTCCTGGTTTATTTTTTCCAAAGGTACCTGGAATTACATATTGAGTATCTAACCTGGGCTGCTCTCCCTTACTCCAGGAGAGCAGAAAGCATGTGTATTTTATTTGCTGTCTGGAACAGTGCCTGGCATGGCTAGTAACAAAGGATGAGTATGCCAAGAATTATTAGACAACATAAATATACCATAAATACTTTGTTCTTGCTCTCAAGACGCGAAAACCTAAGCCTAGTTGGAGAGAGAACCCAGATCATTGTAAAGGCAAGCACGACAACATTTACAATACTCGCCCAGGGAGATTAGTGAAGGAAGACAGCTGTGAGAGCTGGGCCTTAAAGCATAAGACTTGTATAATGAAATTAGTGGACTTGGAGGATCATAAATACCAGTGTTGGAGAAGCAAACACGGCACTGATTTTATATATTTCACACCCAGAGACTCCCACCTCTGCCTGTATCCTATGGATGTATATACTTTATCTCTGTGCCTTGCAAACTGAATTCGGTCACTTTACATTTTGATTACATGAATATTTGTGTGTTTGGGGCCATGAGCCATCATGGCTGAGACAAAGTGTTTATGGCAAGATTTTACTTTGCTGAGGCTTGTCATTCTGTATTTTGATTAGCTTTTATGCTGAAAATCCACTTAGGTTGACAGAAATCATTTGAAGCAATCATTTAGCCGTTTTCTCAATATTACATATGTAGTAGATGTTAAAAAGGGATTTGTTTGGTCGTGTTAGTAGAGTATCTAATTCAAAACAATTCCTGGAAAATATGTAGTCCTGTATTCAAAGTGAATTGCTAAAATACCTATACAGGACTGCAAAGGAGATGCTGAGACTAAGGTTTTCAACTCTTCCCAGACAATGCTTACCATGAGGAAATAAAAGTAGCAATGTTGACAGTGAAGTTCTGGAGACCAATCAGAGGCAGCCTGTAAACCAGATGTTCTCAGTGAGTTAAAAGGACATGGATTCCTTGTTTATTTAAATCTATGGATGGGATTTAGAGAATTTAGCCATAGCTTCTACTCCTTTTGTATGTATGGAGAGAGGTTTAATTTTGGCACAGAAAGTTTATAACTGCCCTCCAAAATATCAGGGACCCCAGTTCTTTTTACATTTCGTTGTGTTACTGCTGGTAGTAAATGAAGCACTGGGATCCAAGTGTAACCTTGGCCCTAACATTCTTAAGTCTTGACTAATTCTATCCCAGTGTCACTTGGATCTTCCTTCGTCCTCTGCCTAACTGGGAAGGACAGTATGCTGAAGTGGTGGGCATGTTAGAAAAATAAGCCCAGCTGACTCTTCTCTATACAAGGTGGCTTCAAAAAGTTCATGGAAAAACACCATTATCTTTTTTTTTTTTTTTTTAGTTTTCATTGTGAATTGAGTGATGGTTTACATGGGAGAACAT